AAATCGGCGGCTTCGGCGGGTAGGCGGTTCTATGGGTTTATAACCCTATGGGTAAAAAAGCACCACCTGTTTTCAGTCCAATGTTGCGCCTCGTTGAGCTTGAAACTGTTAATTGCTTCTTGTTGGTGTTACATCTGACCTTTTCAATAAGTTGTGCGGATCAGTGTGCTCAAAATTGCTCGGTATTTTAAGTGTCGTGATCAGCCCTGTCATGTCTGGTTTGGAATGTTGCGCAAGCCAGGGCCGGAAATGTGGCCTTCGGCTGTTTCTGGTATGAGAGTCGACTTAGTTCACGAATGATTTTAATTGCTCTGTGTTGAACCTTCTCCAAAGCAGATGTCTTTCTGAAGATTGGGTTTCCGTGCTTGGATACAATAAACCAAACATACAATATGCTTAGATACAATACGCACCAGAGTTTTATAGTTGTATAATTGCCATTTTTCCTTGGTTAAAATTTCGTTTGAATATTTCTAGGATTTTTTTTTTTTTAAATTGTAGCTCCACTTGTGTAACGTTCAGTGATTGATGGATTCTGACTCCAAGGTGCTCTTCTTCCTCAATCTGCTGCAAGCTAATGTTGATGATTTGGTAATTGTAATGTGATTCATTGTCCTTAAAAATCGACACATTTGGAACCCTCCAATTCCTGTACTCTGCTCGACTCTAATGATTTATGAAATATAGAGGGAAAGGGTTCACAAAGATCTTTGTTCTTTAAGTTGCCTATAAAATACTTCGTTTGGTTCTAGGAATTTGTTTGGCTTAAGTGTTTTATTTGTTTAATAACTTCCTCTTTGGTAGCGACTGACTAAACTAGTCAACTTGCCCCTCGCCGCCTACCTATATTTTACGTTTGAAAAACAAATTAGGTATTTTTCCTACATCATTTTTCATATTAGTTAGGGTGGCCGCTGTTGGCCTATTGTTTTCATGAGATTTCACAGCTCGGTAAACACACTAATCCAGTAAGCTCGTGTCCCTTTAAGCCAGACTTGTATGTGAGACATATGTGGTGTGAGCGCCTAGGAAAACGAACTTTATCTAATCTCACCTTTGTGAAGTTATCAAAGCCCATGACTGGTCTGTGTGTCACAGACCGTGTGAGCTGAAACACTAGTGGTTTCACTGTAGTCCTACGGGCCCGGGTTAGATTCCCAACAGAGGCATAAACAAATTGGCCGAGTTTCGTTCACCCTGATGATCCTGTTCACCTAGCAGTAAATGGGTACCTGGTAGTTAGACGGCTGCTTCCTGTGTGTACTCCTAATTGTACTCGCCTAATTGTGCTTGCGGGGGTTGAGCTTTGGCTCTTTGGTCCCGCCTCTCAACTGTCAATCAACTGGTGTACAGATTCCTGAGCCTACTGGGCTCTATCATATCTACATTTGAAACTGTGTATGGAGTCAGCCTCTACCACATCCCTTCCTAGTGCATTCCCCATTTATTAACTACTCTGACACTGAAAAAATTCTTTCTAACGTCTCTGTGGCTCATCTGGGTACTAAGTTTCGACCTGTGTCCCCTTGTTCGTGTCCCCACCCGTGCTGAAGAGTTTGTCTTTGTCCACCCTGTCAATTCCCCTGAGAATTTTGTAGGTGGTTATCATGTCTCCCCTTACTCTTCTGTTTTCCAGGGATGTGAGGTTCAGCTCCTTTAGCCTTTCCTCGTAGCTCAATCCTCTCAGTTCCGGGACGAGCCTGGTGGCATACCGCTGAATCTTCTCTAACTTTGTCTTGTGTTTAACTAGGTATGGACTCCAGGCTGGAGCTGCATACTCCAGGATTGTTCTTACATAAGTGGTATACAGGGTTCTGAAAGATTCCTTACACAAGTTTCTGAAGGCAGTTCTTATGTTGGCCAGTCTAGCATATGCCGCTGATGATATTCTTTTGATGTGGGCCTCTGGGGACAGGTTCGGTGTGATATCAACCCCCAGATCCTTCTCTCTCTTTGATTCTTGCAGGATTTCCCTCCCAGATGATACCTTGTGTTCAGCCTCCTGCTCCCTTCGCCTAATTTCATCACCTTACACTTTCCAGAGTTGAACTTCAGCAGCCATTTTCTAGACCATTCCTCCAGTTTATCCAGGTCATCCTGTAGTCTCTGTCTATCTTCATCCGTCTTGATTCTTCTCTCATAATTTTTGCATCATCAGCAAACATCGAGAGGAATGAGTCTATACCCTCTGGAAGATCGTTCACATATATTAGAAACAGGATGGGTCAAAATTTGGGGATGGGGAAAATGGGGATGATTTTGTGGGCCAGCCTACAAAATATTGTAGGCTGGTGAACCCTGATGACCCTGTTCAGTCTCGGGAGACTATGGAGTTGTGCTCTGGTTGTCGGTCTGGAGTGGCCTCTCCAGGGCGTGAAGCCAGGGTAGGTTGATACGGGGGAGGAGCTGTCACCTATGCAGCGGGTCCTCCCCCTCGCCACGGCGCCGGAAGTCTCCAATGGAAAGGCAAACGCCAATAAGATTTGTTCCAGCGCCGTCGCAGGAACTGTCAGAACGAAGTTGAAGGTGACATCGAACTGCCCCCAGGGGATCCAGCTCCCCGCCAAACACACACCGAAACTACGACGTTGCTTCAACGTTCGAATAAGTTTTAACACCACCTAACCAGTTATAACAATCAATATAGCAAGTTGTAACAACGTTCTAACACGTCATAAACACGTTAAACCAAGATGTAAGAACTTTATTACAAGTTGTAACAAGCAGAAAATAGACAGTTACGGTTTGTGTTTCCAGGGTCCGTAGGTTACCTCGAAGTTGGTAAAAGAAGGCACAGGGACTCCAAACCCAGAGAAGAATCGCCCCAACAAGGGCAAGAACGACCCCAGCCTCCTGAAGGAGAGCTTGGGCTGCACCAACCTCAGGAGGTGGACTTGTGAGCCCTGCACCTACGGGTTCCAGACAGAGATGGTCACAGACCCTTTTTTCACCCGAGGCCGGCTTCCTTCATGGCCCAGCAGAAGGAAGAGTAATATTTTAATTACAAATATTATAATAAAAATATAATTAATAATTATTACTCTTCCTTCTGTTTGGTCTTGAAGGAAGCCGGAAAATAAATAGGTTGGAAAGGCGGGGTCCAAGAGCTAATAGCTCGATTCTGCAGATGCAAATAATAAATGCAAATAGTAAGTACAATAGAAACTAATGTACCGAAATAAGCCACAGATATAAAATAATTTATAAATTTCTAGCAAGTTAATGAGATGCACTAAAGAAGTGGTGGAAGCAAACTCCAAACACGGCTTTACATGTAAATATGAGAACTCTATATAGACTGGAACCTGCACACCATTGGGCTAATTAATAGTAGGGAGGCAGGACCCAAGAGCTGCAGCTCATCCCACTAGGCAGATTACGTCAGATCTCTGCTAGTGTGTCCTTGTATCGTACACACCGAGCTACACGTTTTCAAAAAGCTTCGTGTCTTCAGAAGATTCACTGTATAAATGTTTCTCATTTTCGGTGTGTATTCGGTGTATGTGAGTGTATTAATACCTACTGGAGTATACAGTTCGAACAACCATTCGTGTGTTAAATGTTAGTCCCGCACAGGTCGTGTAATATTGGCACCCTGTATTGTGACTCAAAGCTGCCTCGTCATATGATTCCTCCGACCTCGTGACTTCCTGACCCTGCCCCCATGAACCCCCTAACCCTCCCCTTTGGTAATAAATCTTTAATACTATCTTTAAAACGGTAATTGACGGCTATATTTTCGATCGATTTTTGTTCGTTTATTACACCATACCATCCCTTGGTGGAAAGGTTAGAGAGGCAGTGGTCTCGGCCCCCCAAATTCATTTAGCTAATTATATAAGCAAGTTACAATCTGATGGGGGGCCAGGATAAGGATTTGGGATGGAACGGGGGAAAGGAATGGTGCCCAACCACTTGGACGCTTGGGGATTGAACGTCGGCCTGCATTAAGAGACCGTCGCTCTAACGTCCAACCCAGGTGGTTGGGCACATTAATTGCAGCAAGCAATTAAAAATGGAAGAGAATAAACAGATGGTGTACAATTGTAGATTATACTGCAGATATCAGTAATTAATGTTCAATAATGGCAAAACACAATGGACACAGGTGGAAACTTGGTACCCAGATGAGCCACAGAGACGTTAGAAAGAATTTTTTCAGTGTCAGGGTAGATAACAAATGGAATGCATTAAGTAGTGATGTGGTGGAGGCTGACTCCATACACAGTTTCAAATGTAGATATGATAGAGCCCAATAGGCTCAGGAATCTGTACACCAGTTGATTGATAGTTGAGAGGCGGGACCAAAGAGCCAGAGCTCAAGCCCCGCAAACACAAGTAGGTTAGTACAACTAGGCGAGTACAATGGTTGCCGTACATGCTTTTCCTACAGTAAGCAAACTTTGTACATTTGGTTAAGATTTTTGTAAACGCCAAATGTATCCACAAAAATATTAACGAGTAATAATAATTATACAATATACAGGATAAGATCAATGGTTACTTAGTAGGTACAGTATTTAGTATATTTTATGAAACTGCTAATTACGCACAGCGTTTCCGGAATAAAAGAATACGTAATGCAATAAATTTTGGAGTTAATTATGGTTTAAGAAATACACACGTAAAATGTATTAAAATGTGACTTTCCTTTTAAAGTGAGGCGACAAAACTTTGATACCAACTGTACAAAAAGTTGGTTACGAGTTAAGGGTATTAAGAGGAGCGACGCAGTTCCTCTGCTCTCTTGTTTCGATTAGGGAGTGACGTAAACAGCGGAGTGTCATGGCGGGTGTTGATACAGTGTTGTGGTGGGCAGTCAGCTGATTTCAATGTGTCATGAATTTATGAACTCAGTAGGGCATTCGAGTGGCAGGACTTGAACTGTTAGCGCTATAGAGTGCTAAATGACGTCGGAAAACGACGAAATAAACCCTGTAGCAGCCACGACGGCGGCGGCGGCAGCGGTGGTGGACGAGCGAATACGGTCCTTGTCGACAGCCTCGGAGGCCTCAGAGGACTCTGCTGCTGCTCTCCTCCCAGACGTTACCTTCGGCCCCGGCAGCCACACGGGCATGGGCTCCCCCAGGAGTAACAGGGAGAGTCAGCCTCTCCTTGGTGCCAGACACGAGCTCGATGACTTCAATCACTGGCCAGGTGCGAGGCATTACCGTACTCTGCTTTAGCAGCTCCTCTTGTTGTGAGGCGTGACTCTGACCCCAAGCTTCAGGGTGTCATGGTGTCATGGTTATTGCTGGATGACCTTACTTCTCCACTTCTCAGACGTTTTCTTTTATTTGACTGTTAATTTTAATGTCAACAATAATTTGCTGATAAAAGTGCATTGATGCTTATTGGATCTTTCTAATCATTCTAATCCTATATTATTGGAAAGAACATGGTTATGTCATTTGTGAGAACTATAGAATGAGTAGAGCTTGTGATGTTGCAGATACATCGGCAGAAGAAACCATTCAAATGTGCCTCACCCTCCCAAAAACTTTCTATATTGATGTTTTTAACAATACTGTATGTAATAATTCTATAAGGAAACATTGCAATGATGGATGTTTTGCTGCAACAAATAACAATTTCTGATATTTAATTTGTTTTTACCTAAATAGCATATGGAATACTTTTTAAATAATTTAATTTTAGGCCACACTTGATGGACCAGAAATCTGTTCTTTATCTTTTTCTTTATATTGCGCTCTTCAACAGTCATACTGGCAAAATGGTTTTTAATTTGTACGATTTTCAGGGATCTGATTACACTTAAAATAAATTATTTTAGTAGGGCAGTACAGTATGGGGCTTAGGCAGCTCCAGCTTTGAGAATATTCAAATCTGAATCTTGGTTGAAAGTGATTAGATTAAGTTGCTGCAGTAATTGTTTAGTTAGACTCCTCAAATGCTGTTTTATTAGAGAAGTACTTGAAGACCTGGCCCCTCTATATAGGCTGCAAGTTGGTTACTCCTCAGCTGCTATGTTACTGGGACAATTTTTGTTGCTACCTGGTTAACGTTGTGGCTCTAACATCTGATAGACATATTACAGAGCTCTTGCAGTAATATACTGTATGAGCTTGTTTATCTAGATTATATCGGGACCCTCAACGGAAAAGCTAGAAATCCAGATAAGCCGTATTTCTTACCAGGAAAGTCCAAAAAATGAACTTTATTCACAATTTTTTTGTTACAAAGCCAATATAACACGCACTATAATTAAAAAAATGTACTGTAATTTAAAATAAATTACACAAGTACTGTATTGTAATTTAAAATAAACTTGAGCTTACCTTGTTGTAGTTAATCTTCTCGATTGATGTGGCGTATTTTGAAATCGATAAATTTCAAAAATTTATGTAACCTAACACTACATTAAAATTACTGTTCAGTACATGCATTGGCAAGGTGACTGCATGCACTGTACTGCTGGCATGGTCAATGTATGTTCTGTACTGTACAGGTGACATGTACTTTTTTGACTGCCAGTGTCACTAGTTGAAGGCTTTCGGTTTTCTGATGAAGCTTCAGTGGTTGAATGGCATTGGCTTGTTTTTACCAAATAATAGTTTTGCTATATTTCTGTTCCTTGTCCTCTAATGAACAGCTCTTTAGTTCGCCTTAAGTACTGAAACAGGTTTCCAACTACTGGATTATCGCAGTTGGATGAAAACTTTACTCACGTCTTCTGTTGACATGTTAACTGTGTTTGGTTGTGGTATTAGTACACCACCACCACCACAGACAATCTTTCTCTTAACTCCTCCAGGACAATTTATTGCTACTGTTACATAGTTGAGCTACATTTTGCCAAGACGGTCTTGGCCAAAAATTATCAGTTACTATGAAAACAGTCATTGAAGAAAATGTTTCACTAATGACACGCTCTGGTATAAAGCGAGGGGTCGAGAGCACACGACCAGTTTAGCTTGACCAGGCCTAGATGGGCCTGGTGGGCCACTTTAGGCCCACCAGGCACTTTGATGTAGTTCGCCAAGCGGGGAAAAAAAAAAAAAGTTCCAATATTTTAGTACGAAACTAGTCTTGAGTACACTTCGGTACACCAATTTTTTAAGAAATTTGTATTTGTTACATTAAATAATATTTCTCAAGTTTACTGTAATGTACTGTAATTTATGTAGTTTCAACATTCTTGGTTATTCTATACAATATAGATCGGAGGCCCCACCAATCCCCAGACAGTCTCTTCTGACTCTTCCCCTCTCCTGAAACCACCCACCCAAACACCTCCCATACCCTGTGCATCAAGCCACTGCTATACAGTATTAATACAGTATGGCCTGGTACCTGTCTGCAGTACCCGGCAAAATATCCGGTTTTCCAAATTTCTGTCCAGATATGAAATTTGGCAGAAAGTTGTATGGACTTCATTTAAAATTTGTAGAATCTTTAGAGTTTACACTATTCGGCCAAACCTCTGGTTATCCAGATTGCTACCGGGATATGGTAGTAAAGTAGTGTTAGAAATATCTGCGTGCAATTTTGGTCAGATAACCCAAGTATTCTATGCAGTCTAGCAGAATTTGAATAAGCAAGTGCATAAAGTAATTCCTGTTGTCAAGGACAGGAAGCCTGTGTTTATATACTTTATATATACAATAAATAGGTTCTTGTCAGTTACGAATTGTTGCATGTTACTTGACGAAGGGTTGATGTTTTGGCCTATTGGTACCTGTAGTGAATTTATTTTTGTATTTTTATTTATTTTTATATAAGAGTTCTTATATTCTTGTACAGCCACTAGTACATGTAGCGTTTTGGGCAAGTCCTTAATCCCATGTTCCCTGGAATACGTCCCCACGAAAAATTGTTTAACAACAACAGTACCCATTTTTTACTGTGGAGTTAAACAGAGGCTACAGTTAAGGTTAAGACGCCCAGTAAATCCTCCCTGGCCAGGATACAAACCCAGGACAAACGCTCGCGAAACGCCAGGTGAGCGTCTTAACCACTACACCACGACGACTGCCAAGATATTTTTTCAAAATACAATTACATTTTTCTCATAAACTACAACCAAATGTTTTTTTTATTATGTTATTTAAGGCAATATTAGTGCTGTACTTACAATCCATTTTATTCAGCTAAAACTGATTACAGTATTTTTGTTGAAAGATCAAGACAGAAACAAGTAATGTTACTTTAGACTAAATTGCTATTTGTGCTTTAGAAAAGAAATAAGACAATCCAAAATTGCTTCCTTTTGCAGATGACCCACACTTCACAGATTTGGTTAGACAAGCGGAAACATCTATAGAAAGTGGCATATACCCTGAGAGGATATATCAAGGCTCCAGTGGCAGCTACTTTGTAAAAAACAGCAATGCAGTAAGTACAGAGTTACAGCAATGGCTAACTGTAAGTTGCTATTTAATATACAAGATGTTGGCGGTGCAGTTTAATGCTGATAAATGTAGGGGTTTAAAACACAGAAATCACAATAGTGTGATGCATCACGCTATTGTGAATTGTGTGTAATGGTAAGGGCGAAGAGGTAGAACAGCTTATTGACAGAGCCCGAGTGCATGGGGGACTTGTGTAAACCATGGTTTATCTCGGAGAGACTGCAGGATCCGTGTGAGGCCAGTGGAACTCCTGGTTGCAATTCTTTTGACCATGTCGTGGCCTAGTCGTTAAGGCAGCATCTGGGATCCTCTCAGACGTAGGTTCGAACCCTCATCACGGCCCTTATGGATTTGTTCGTAGGGGTTTAAACTTAGGAAATGAAACTAGGGTTGCCATATTTCGGTTAAACATTCTTGAAATCCCAAGTTATTTACATGAAAGATCTGTTTAATGATTGATATGCATCTTCAGGTAATCAGCGTATATCAAATGTTTGAAACGTGGCAAATAGAATACTTAGGTTTTCATATGTTGGTGAAGTCATGAAATATAATACAGTACTGTACGTTTTACCTTCATCTTGTCCTTGTAAAGTTGTACTTATAATGCCCAAAACTGAACTACATAATCTATATGTATAATGGCCATAAAATGTTGTCTTCATTGTGTGCTGAGAGGGATGAAGGTAATCCTTAGAATTGGGAATCTTCTATTTGAAATAGATTATGAAAGCATAAAGAGTTAGAACAAGTGCTTAAGCTATCAACTCAAAATTGAACACTAAACAACTGGTACAAATTGAGAAGTATAAATTTACTGAAAGAACTTTATAAAAGCCATTTTAGATACTGTATTGGGTTATACATTCATGGAACAAATTTTGAGGTAACATAAGACATGGGTTCGCTAGGTTGTTCCAAGCATAGCGATATAAACTGGTATTTGTGCATAAATAGGAGTGGCTCCAGAAGACCAGTAGGCTTTCTGCACTTTCCAATATTCTTGAGTAGATGAGCAAAGAATTCTCAGGAGCCCTTGTCAGGAACTTGATCAGCTGACATAGTGTGGGAATGTAGAGGGTGTGGTCGGGTGGGAGCACAGACGGGTATGCTATAGAAGATTAAAGTACTGGGTTCAGAAATTAATTCATTGTATGACATAGTTGATTAATAAATTTCATAAAGTGACTTTGCAAAGTTTATAACTTTTGTTAACGACGTGCATTTTTTAATACCAGTATTACAAAATTAACTTGTGTACAGTATATTGTATAATCAGTGGGTGAAAGGTACTTTGGAGATTAGTAATTAATAGTACAATTTTTTTCTTTTTATAAATCAGAAAGTTATTGCAGTATTCAAGCCAAAGGATGAAGAGCCTTATGGTCGCCTTAATCCAAAGTGGACAAAGTGGCTACATAAGGTGTGCTGTCCTTGCTGTTTCGGCCGCTCGTGCCTCGTACCTAACCAGGGGTACTTGTCTGAAGCTGGGGCTTCACTAGTTGATCAGAAGTTGCAGCTCAACGTTGTTCCTAAAACTAGGGTATGTAATGTTGATTTTTCTAATGGTTTTGCTTTTTAAAATGAGTGATCTTTAAACACAAACCTTCCAGCAGATATATTTTGTGATTCTGTGAGAGCAATGAATAATAAGACTTTAATAATGAATACAATTGTGCAATATATAGTTTGCTCTAGAGTATAATTTTTTGTAGCTTGGAAAAGAAGCTTCATAGACTTGTATTGCACAATAATAATGTTAACCATTCTGCTCATTTCAGGTAGTAAAATTAGCCAGTGAAACTTTCAATTACACAAGGATAGATCGTGAAAAATCGAGAGCTAAGAAGATTGTCTCTGAACGTTTTCCCAAAGTTGGTCGGCATTTTCACAGAATTGGACTTCCCCCTAAAGTTGGGTCATTCCAAGTGTTTGTGGAGGCAAGTGAATATTGCAGGTTATAGTCAGTTGGTTCATCATTACTACTGATGAATAATGCGTGAATGAATACTAGAGAATACCTGCTAACAGTATCTAGACCCCATTTTAACCCTACATTAGTAACATGGTGTTTGCTTATCCCAGTACAAGGAAAAAAACTTTATAGCCATTTATGGTACAGTATATGTAATTTATTATTTATTCCACTATATTATTATTCTATGCATTAATTTTATTTTTTTGTATAATGAATCTGGTGAGCAATTGTATATTTTGCCATGCATGATATATTGGTGTTTGGAGCATTTAACCACCCCGGGGTAATAGCATAGTTGAGTAAATGAATGAGAAGTGTAGCACTGATAGTATTTGGGGTGACCTCTAACATGGTCGTTAGTATTGATGTCTTTCAACTGATTGGTCCTGGTTTAGATTCCCTGACATTACCTAGTTTCTTTCTAATCTTGGCACAGTACACTTATTCCATGCCTTCTGGAAATTTTCCACTTTTTTTTTCTCCATTACATTAAACCATTTTTTAATATATCCCAACACCTCCAGTTTTACCATATTTTGGTTTCTTCAGATTTTGGTTACATCTTTCATAGATACAGTGTATATAGCCTTAGTATATTTCACTCTTCTCACTATGAAATCCAATAAAGTTTACTTTCGTCTTTCACCCATTAGATTTTAAAGGTATTTTCACTACTTCTAATTATCCGTTCACTCTAACATTCTTTCATGTCTTTTAAATACTGTGTTTTCTTTTGCCCATCCACCAGCCTAGCTGCATTTTCTTGGGTTCAAAAAGAGCTTGTCATTTGCTGAATAATTTCCATTAAAGACGGGGGTGAAAGGGAGTGAACATATTTCTATGAACTGTATGACAGTTGAAAAGAAGTAGCACTATACACCTAGTATTATGAAGTAAGGTTTTGCTGCTGTAGGGCTGACTGCTGAATTGTCATGTAGTTTCTCATTCACTCTACTTTCCACACAGGTACCCAATCACTTGGACTGGACAGTAGAGTGACTGTCTTGCTTCTTGCAGGTTGGCATTCAGTTCCTCATTGTTCAAGTGGTTGGGCACCATACATTTTCTCCGTCCTGTCCTAAATCCTTATCCTTGTATTCCCACAAAGTGTTATATACTGTGGTCATATTGGCTGTGGTGCTTTCTTCTGATTCCTCAGAGATTTGTGCACATTTCCACACAGATACCCGAATCTGTTCTTGGAGATGACTGTTAAGTTTATGAAATGCAGATTTATTAAATTTATTGCAATATGAATCCTTTAAGAGTAGGATGTTATTCTAAATTCATTGAATTAAAAAGGTCTTATAAGTGCACAGTAACCCTTTTCTTGGTACACAATTAAAAATTAAAGATAATTATAATGTATTAAAATTATAGTGACATTAGTGTATATTACTAATAGATGGAACACTAAAATTTGTAATGATTCAGATACTGATGCCGATTCCACCAAAGCGTCTAATTCCGATACCCTTATCGATTGGTTCAGATTCTTTTAAAGTATACTTGCTTGAATACATATTTTTATAAAATTTTCATATTTTAGCTTTGAAAAATAAATTATTTAAATTATGAGCATTGTAAATATATTAATGTAATAGTGATATAAGAATAGAAAGCAATTGGTAAATCCAATATAAATTGGTACCCAGTGGTGACCTCATCACCTGGCATGGCTCAGTTCCTAGTTGTCACACCTGAGCCTTTTACCCCCCCCCCCCCCCTCTTACCAGGTCGCATGCGGCAGTATCCACATGAGTATGCGGATACTACCACAAAGGAGGCTATCCACACTTGTCCCATTTCCCACAAAGGTTTTCCTTATATTGATTTCTATCCTGTTATTCATTCCTCAATCCGTGCCCGTTGGCAGGATCGCTGGTGTTCTGTTACTGGTAACAAGCTGCGTGGTCTTAAGGGTAGTGTTCCCCCCATGACCTTCCGGTTACGGTGGGGTAATGGCTCTGGCGAGGTTACGTACTGGCCATACCCGTTTAACTCGCGGGCATTTAGTGGAGCATCGCCCTGCTCCTTCTTGTCCACTGCTCTGTCACTCTTATGGACGTGTATACTGTATATACTTGTTGAATGTCCTGACTTCCAGGGTGTACAGTACGTGCATCTGGCTTCCAGACTGTCCCTCGTGGTCACCTGTCTCTCGATAGTATCCTTGGTGAATTGGATACCTTGGATATAGTTTGCCTTGTGCGCTTTTGTTGTTGTATTGGCAGCCATAGTGATATTTAGCGCCTTTTGAATATCCCGCACTTTTGCCGGTGCTACATAGCCTTCCCGGCTTGGTGCCTTCATTTGATAATTACTTACTTTATCTTTGGACATATTACAGTTTTGCAACTATATTAAGTAGCTGGAGTGAAGGAGTTGTATTTGATATAATAAGTATTGTTTTTCCTATCTGTTAGGGATTCAAAGATGCTGATTACTGGCTGCGGAGATTTGAAGCAGAGCCTCTGGGTGACTCGACTAGCAAACAATTTCAGCTACAGTTTGAGCGGCTTGTTATCTTGGACTACATCATCAGAAATACAGACCGTGGTAATGACAACTGGCTTATAAAGTATGACAAGCCAGAACTAGCAGATGAAGGAGAGAGTGAGGTGAGAGGCTGGCAGCTATCGCTTTATTTCTTGCACTGTAACTATAAACAACATTTATAACTTTTTTTTCCTGGTTAGAGGAAACTTCCGGTAGTGAACATTCCCCACGGATTGACACCACGATATTGAAGAAATGGATGACAAGTATTACTAAAGGCCCTTGAATAGTTTTAATAATGTATATTGGCATGGTTACAAAATAAGCAACTTAGACCAAATAAAATGTTGGAGATAGCTCTGAACCTAATAGTCAAGACAAGTTGTCATTTGGTATTAAAGTACGATACAGTAAATAAATAAATAATAAAAGCGGTAAAATTAATACCGTAGTTAAATGGACCTATAACATGAAATTGTCGTAATTTTATTTGTCGCTTCTTAATTTTACTAGAAAAGTATCAATGAATGAATTGATACTGGGGGTCCATATTTAAGTGATAAGTCACTGGTATAGGGCTGTGGTGACTATTGCTTACTACTCATTGGTGGTATAAAGAACCCTTGCATGCTATATGATAAAGTTGGTATGATTTTAGGCTTGACTTATTTTTTCTTGCTAAAGAAAAAACAAATATTTATGATCTGGATCCGTGTGTGTACTTTGATGCTAAAGGCAGGGACACCACCATATTATCTAATATGAGATGTTTGGAAGAGGTTTTTAAATAAGTTGTTCAAGTTTATACAGGTAAGTTGAATTATATTTTGGTATTATGAAATGGTTGATATAGTGGAATGGTGTTGGAGTTATGTTTGGGATTTAATGCAGCCTACTTCTATGTGGGTTAGTTATGTTTTAGCATTTTATTTTTTCTATATTGATTTTGGTCTGAAATTTCAGGATTGGTCAATGGTGAAACCTCCCGAGGTGAAAGTAGCTGCCATTGATAATGGCCTTGCCTTCCCATTCAAGCATCCTGACTCTTGGCGAGCTTACCCTTACCACTGGGCTTGGCTTCCTTGGGCCAAAATTTCCTTCAGTAATGAAACCAGAGATCTTGTCCTTCCATTGCTATCAGACATGAATTTTGTCCAAGAGCTCTGTGATGATATGTATAATTTATTTCAGGTGAGGCTTTTCAGATGCAATTGATATATTAGCAGTTTAGCTTTTGAAAAGTTGTGTAATTTTGCTATCAGGAGTATATGATGAGTCGATGAAGGGTTTGTTATTAAATTTACAAACTGGCCACCTCCATTTTCCCTTTTTAAAACCCCCACTCCATTCTAACTTTTATTATTTTCCCTTTCCAAATATTCCCCTCCACAATTCCAACCCGCCTTCCCTTCACCATAGGGAAGAGAGTGGCATCTATGTTAACACTTTTTTTTTTATATAATTAGCTAGCTTAAGTATTAGATTCCACTTTTGATAACAAACCATCAAAATATCTAGTTCATTTGTGTATAAAAATGCCAATGTTAAGTATCGAGTCACTATAGCACTTGTATTATATAGTTAATATCATTATCATTACCCCTGGTTATGTTCTTCATACAGTATTGTATGTATGTAATATTTCCAAGAAATGTTTAAATAAATACTTGCCTTCTTTGACAGACGGACAAAGGATTCGATCGACACATTTTTGAGCGCCAAATGTCTGTAATGCGGGGACAGATTTTAAACTTAACGCAAGCCCTTAGAGATGCGAAGAGCCCTGTTCAGCTGGTTCAGATGCCAGCTGTCATTGTTGAAAGGTAAGTAGTTAATATATAATAGTTATATTGCTCATTTTCCTGAGCAAGATTATGATAAAAGTGGCAAAAATATATTCAAATAATATTCACATACTGTAGTTTCATAAAAATGTATATAATGAACATGATATACAGTACATCCGAGAATATGCCTGACCTGAACCTAGGCAGCAAGCAAAGTGAGATTAATTAAAATAGGTTTAAACATTAACCACTCGTGTGGTTGGCATGACAATGCAAAACTCACAATCTGAAGTTTGTTAAATTTGTCATTAAAAACTGTAGTTATAATGTATTGTAAGGGTATACTTTAGTAACAACCAATCTTAAAAAATCTTGATAAACTCTTGTGAAGCAATTATTATAATTGTTTTAATTAAATTTTTTTTCAGGTCAAAAGGCAGAGTTGGTACAACTGCCCGTTTTCGATCCTTCAGCGACACATTTACACAATCATTCCAAGAAAAAAGTCCGTTCTTTTCGTGGTGCTGAGGGAAGGTAACTTTTTTCCTCTGGTCATAATTGGGTCAGCAACATTAGTATTTTGACAGGTCTTTAGACACGGCTCATTTAACTATCATTACATGTTTTTGATGGTTATTTTTTTTTTTTTTTAACATTTAGATGTACAGAAAGTGTCTTATTGGTATTAAATCCTAAAATGTTCTCAGAGCCTTGGTCATATATAAGAATGGGGTCAATCACTGAAACACTTCATATAAAGCTGCATTTTATAATGTCTTCTACACGTTTTTACTCTAGACATCTGAATTGTTAAATGAAAAAAATAAAAGGCATAGGATATACAATACATAAAGCTTAACAATCTTCTTATGACTTAACTGAAGGTGAACATAATCCAGGTTCTACTCTTTATAAAAATGTGTGTAATATTAAGCCTTTAAAACAATACACATGTACATGTATTCTTGATCTATGAAAATGTTAATTGAATATATATTGAATCCTCCTTAAACTGCATTTTTCTTGGTAAATCAAGGTTTTTTACACGTGTACTTTTTTTATTTGATGATTGCTTTATACATCAGATGACCTTGTAAAAATCTTTTACAAGATTTGCCTTGGAAAAAAAAAGAAAGTCATGATGAGTATTCATTGCTGTTTATTAGTTTATTTCAAGGAGTACAATAGTTGGTCATTATAAATCAAATTGCCTGTGGCACAGACCTGTCATTTCATTCCCCAGTCTGTCTGTCTCTAAAGGGAAAAGAATTCTGTATGCCTCTATGATACATGCATTCATATGTTTATATATTAATAAATGCAAACGTAAGTATACACTTTCTTCGAGAGGGCAGTTTTTGTTACTATTTTTAATACTAGCTGATTAATGCATGGGGACTTTGCTGTATCCCCCAGGAAGTGCCACTGTTGGGCCAGTTATAACATAGTTTTCACTATTTAATTTACTCACATTGAGTAAATTATGCTATATATTTTTTACATAAACACAATTAGGTGTGTGAGCAGGTTTCAGTAAATAAAATGATACAGTATGGCATATATATAAAATAATTTTTGTTCTATTATCCTTAGGTCATGAAATTAGTCATTATCAATAATGCTGGCAAACATTGGACTTTGTGACAAGGGTAGCTATGTCTTTTTGCGTAATTAAGTTTTGCACATTTGTCCTGAATGCTGGAACAACACTTGGGTAATGCCAGCCCTTCGTAATACTCTGTGATAACTTAGAAATGCCACAAATATTAAACACACTACTAGTATTAACCCAAGCATTTCACATCCCTCTTTCAGTGGAGTTTCAGAATTTAGGATTATTTTTTTTCACTATTGTCTCACAGAGACTTAAAAAAAAAGTGACCAAAGCAAAAATTAAAAGAATGTATAGTTGCAATATTTTTCAATTTCTTATTGGAGAATGTGAAATAAGTTTGAATGATGCATGCGTGTAGTGTGCCGCTCCCTAGGTGCACCAGGTTTGGAGTGTGTGAATGAGGTTTCTGCATTCTTGGTTTCCCCTTGTATATGTGATAATGTATATTGTTATAAATGTGTGCTTTGTGGTACTGTAGTTTTTTTTTTTTTTCCCCCTTTTCTTTCTTTCTGGTATGTGCATACATTACAGGACATTGCAGGTTTTCTAATCATAAATTTTGGATAAGGTGCTTTGAAGATGCATTGATTTCTTACTGTTTTGAAGCAGGATTTGAATTGAGTGGTTAACTTCTATATTTATTTTGAAAAGCGTTATCAAAAGCAGATATGAAATATAATTTTCTGCAGTTGGAGTGAATGTGACTCTTGCTTGTTTATGGGTTATTGAGTTTTCCAGAATAGTTACCCAATGCTTAATCCTTGTACGGTAAGTATATTTTTTTAAAAGCAATGACTGAATGCTGCCATACTAGATAGATTGGTCAAATAGTGATCATCTTTTGTGATCTTTCAACACTGATTTATTTTATGTAAGAGGCTGTGGAATTTTATCTTGATGTACATACTCTTTGATCCTCTAATTTCCCATGTAAAGAGGCAGCATTTATTTAAGAATGTTTGTGGGCTGGACACTTAAGGATATTAAGCTCAGGTAATGGAACAGTAGTTGCCCAAAAGGGTTAACAGGTATAGTCAATATCATAGGTTTTACAGATGAAAATGTAAAAGTTTGTTTACTATTTATCATGATAAAAACTAGGAAATATGTAACAAGTTGATGTGGGAAGTATTGTTACCTGGGGTAGATGCTAGAATGTTAGGCATCAGATTCCTAACATACATTAATATAAGGAGACTTGAAATTGTGTGCATGAAACTAACTGAGCTAGAATGATGTACGATGTTTATCATGACCTAGGATGATGTAGAATGTATCATATGATATAGGATATATAATGGTAGATATCTGATTAACTTTGATCATATTTGGTTATGTATTGTTGTGTACAAGATTATTGGATGGAATGCATGCCATAACTTGGGTAATAAACATGTGATCTGTTATAGTGTGGCATTAACAACCAGTCAGTCGGTATATAATAAAGGGAGTCGCATGCGTTTTGAAATAAGGAAAGCTACTTCAGTTTGAAGGAAAACAACTTTGCTACTGCAGCAAGTCTTGGGCTGTTGTATCAGTGTGCAAATAATTTTCTCTTCATAACTGTGTTCAGACAGCCAAACAGTAGACAACTTAATGGGATAATCCCAGATTGTCATGCCTTTTTCTTTTCTGAAATTTACTTCTTGCTCTGTAATGTTAAATTGGCTTTTACAAGTTATTGTTTTTATATAAAGGATTTCTGATAACTTATTTTGATTATTGAAAAGTCTTGGTATTTCTCCAGCCTATTACATAGTAGGATAAATACTGAAGCTTGTATAAATTATATAAGTACAGAGGTTTTTCTTTGCTCTCGTCTGGCTAAAACCTGGAATTTACAGATTACGTCATTTCTTATTCTTGACTTTCCATCCTTTAGATATGTTGACACTATGGAGTGATCATTATATATTTACTAGCTGTTTTGCTGCTTAATTCTGACTGGTTGTTTTTGCTGCTGCTCTTAGTATTGAAGAGTTTAAGACGGGGCCTCTTCACATGATTTTACGTTTGAGTTAACGTGTGAGAATGATGCATGTTTAGGATGGTGCCTTCATATTGTATATTATTCTGTCTACATTGTATATGCTTAATGTGATCATACCATGGACTACCATGTTGTTGGGGCTTTGCCAAATTATATCTGTATTTTGAAATGTAATAGTATTTTTTAACGAAGGACTTTTTTCTTGTATATTAAACTGGTAATTTTTCCAGGACATTTTGGAAAGTTTGTATATACAAAAGGCACACTACTTGCCTTAACAGTTAGTCACTACAGCATATCTTTTCTGAACGATCAATGAAAATTTGACCTCTACCCATGCCTAATACTTTCATATGACCTCGGTCAACAGTTTGTAAAACGGTCAATGCAACAATGTTATGCTTGAACTTATTTATCTCTGTTACTGTATGTTAAAGCTTCCTTATAAATATACGTAGTCTTAACGTTTGTTTAAGCTGGGTTTTAAAAACCTTTTTTTTTTTTATAAATTGAAGATTTTTATAAATCTTCAATTAATAGGACTGGTTAGCTAGAAACGGCATGATTTTAATTTGTTGCCAATAGGATAAATTCAAAAAGGTTTAAAGAATTAAGAATTGTGTACTGTATTTACAGAATGAAAGTTTACTGCCTAGAATGGAGCTAAATTTTGATAAGTGCACAAAACCATTTCAGGTTTGAAATGAATTTGAAAATATATGTCAATGCTGTAATTATTTACAGCAATAAATACAATTTTCCTAATAAAACTGCATTATCTATACAGGAGAATGTGTTGTCTGTATGAGGTTGGAGGCCAAGCACTTGGGGCTAACCACACCCAACTTTGCCGGGGGGGAGTAGTCTGGGGTATGGGTCAAACATATACTGGTTCAAGTAAGTTTATTGAGTAAAAGGAAGTACATCTCAAAAGGACAGAGTAGCACAAGCTATTTCTACCCCTCGTCTATACCCTCAAGGGGCTCGCAAACCCATACAGTACACAATTGTTATTTCTACCCCTCGTCTATACCCTCAAGTGGCTCGCAAACCCATACAGTACACAATTGTTAATCATATTTTACATTTCACAGTCCAATGGTAATCACATGGCATACTGTGCTGTCACTTATTGATTATGCTACCCCTGTCATGTGTTTTTGTTGGTAAAAGCAGACTAAACAAGTTGGAAAAAGTACAAAAAGAAGCCATGAGAATAATCCCAAGATTATTCTCATGGGGCCAAGGAATACTAATAGAGATAATGATATGATTTGAACTCGGAGTATTGGGGATAGAATATCGGAGATAAATGAAGCTGTGGCAATTAATGAGAGGTGAGGGAGCTAATGAATTAAAGAATGCGTTTCATTGCCAAAGAAATAACACCAACATGGGAGGAACACAACACAGATGCAGTAATTTTTCACTTATGTTTTCAGACTTATCTTTGCTGCGGTTATTTTATTAAGTGACATCTCTTAAAATTATATTGTTTTATACCAGTTTTCCCGAGCTTCTCCAACATTTACCACCACACTGGGTTGATCACTGCCATCATTAGTGGATAGTTCATTTTCTCGAGACTTTCCATATGTGATATACCATCCTCTTCCTTCTTTACTTCTCCCTTTGTTAGCCATACCTAATTTTTCTAGAGCTTCAATCCCCTTGTCCAACTTTTTGAGGTAGTCCAAGATCTGTGTACCGACTGCAGAATTCACAAGGCTATCCTGCATCTCATCACCACTAGGAAACACTTTTTTGGCTTCATTCCTCACTAGGCTATCCTTAATCGTAGCTGTGCCTGCCTCCCAAACGTTAGAAGCTATCATTGTCTTTCCACTATTTCTTCCTCGTTCCTGCTATTTGATCCTTCCTATCTTTTATCCTGCTTATGGGTGCTGGCTTGGGATATCTCGCATGGGGCTTTATGAGACAGGAACCAGCATTGTGGATACTGCGACAATTGTAGCAAGATGGCCAAAAATTTTCTTCTTTGCCAATCCTGAATCTACAATGTCGTGAGTCATGCTTATCACAATACAGACATCTGGTGTCAAACTGGCATTTCCAAGCCATATGTACTCAATGAGAACACTTCATGCATAATATAGGCTTCTCACAAATTTTCCCACTTTCCTTTATCAAAAAGTCCTTTGACAAAACATCTTTCTGGAGCCTCATCCTCTAACAAGGCGACAATCTGACTGTTTTTCACTACTTACAATTTTCCTCTTGGCCCACACAACATTTTAAATGTCTACATGAAGAAATTCACATCTCAATGAGTGATCACTGCACCGATCAGCGTCGTCAGCTTCCAAGCGGGCACCACTGATCTACCACAATAGGAGGAACCTGGAGCCCTGGCACAACCCTTCCGGGAAGACATCTCCCTCCCTCACCTGGAGAACCAACAAGTTCAACATGGGACGACAACTAGAAGCTGGATTCCAAAGATTGAGCGAGCACCACCTGACTGCACATGAGATAAGAAGCAAAGAACAGACACACCGCCTCCCTCGGGATTGACGCAAAACAGCTTCAACAAGGCTGCAGAGACCAGTGCACCAGCCCCAGGATCGGCACCCAGCACCCCCCCCCCCCCCCCACATCCTCCTCAAGCCAGTCCAAAGACAGCTCAAGAAGGGAAAAGAAATGCAGAGCCGAAGCCAAATTACCACGGGAGCACAAGTCCCCAGCTACCAGAGCCGCTGAAAGGGAGGGCACCTGCACGTGAAGCTGCACCAGGCCAACATCCCGAGGAAGGGCTGGGGCGAACAAACACGCATTGAGGCGTTCAAACTTACCTGAACTGTAAGCTCCTCTCTCCACTCAAGCATGTACTCACCTAATTGTGCTTGCGGGGGCTGAGCTCTGGCTCTTTGGTCCCGTCAATCAACAGGTGTACAGGTTCCTGAGCCTATTGGGCTCTATCATATCTACACTTGAAACTGTGTATGGAGTCTGCCTCCACCACATCACTTCCTAATGCATTCCATTTGTCAACCACTCTGACACTAAAAAATTTCTTTCTAATATCTCTTGTGGCTCATTTGGGCACTCAGTTTCCACCTGTGTCCCCTAGTGCATGTGCCCCTTGTGTTATGCCTGTCTTTATCTACCCTATCAATTTCCTTGAGAATCTTGAATGTGGTGATCATGTCCCCCCCTAACTCTTCTGTCTTCCAGCGAAGTGAGATTTAATTCCCGTAGCCTCTCCTTGTAGCTCATACCTCTCAGCTCAGGTACTAGTCAGGTGGCAAACCTTTGAACCTTTTCCAGTTTGATCTTATCCTTGACTAGATATGGACTCCATGCTGGGGCTGCATACTCCAGGATTGGCCTGACATATCCCTCCAAACACACACCGAAACTACGACGTTGGTACAACGTTCGAACAAGTTTTAACACCTCCTAACCAGTTATAACAACCAATATAGCAAGTTGTAACAACGTTCTAATACGTCATAAATACGTTAAGCCAAGATGTAACAACTTTATTACAAGTTGTAACAAGCGGAAAATAGAGACAGTTACGGTTTGTGTTTCCAGGGATGTGGTATACAAAGTTCTGAATGATTCCTTACACAAGTTTCTGAATGCCGTTCTTATGTTGGCCAGCCTGGCATGTGCCGCTGATGTCCTCTTGATATGGGCTGCAGGGGACAGGTCTGGCTTGATGTCAACCCCCCAAGTCTTTTTCTCTCTGACTCATGAAGAATTTCATCTCCCAGATGACACCTAGTATCTGGCCTCCTGCTCCCTATGCCTATCTTCATTACATTACATTTGCTTGGGTTAAACTCTAACAGCGATTCCTTCAGCTTGTCTAGGTCTTGAAGCCTCAAGCAGTCCTCCTGTCTTAATCCAATGTGGGAGTGACAACGTATGCCATGCTTCCAACGAGACTGAGTCTGAAAACAAGGATGACTCTGGAACCTCATAATGCACCCAATAAGGAAAGGAAGAACCAAACTTAGAAAGAGGTAAGCTGCAAGGGCCTCCTGCACCTTAATGAGGCAGAAGGCCGAAAACATCCGGAAGGAAGGACTGAAAAAACCCAAGGGAACTAGGAACCGAACCTGGGGAGGTGCTGACGCCATATCAAACTCGTAGGAGGGAGGGAGGGAGGATAAGAGAACTGCGTCCTCTGTTAACAAGCCCCAAGGTCCAGCTTTCCCTCCCTCCCGAGGAGGAGGGAAACTGTGCAGACAGCAGTGCTGACGTCATGCTAATTTGTTAATTTTTAGTTTGGAGTTTTGTTCAACAGTTCGGCTTTCAGTAGCATTTTTTTTAAACAGGGTTTGTTTTGGGGTGCCTGACCTTGTCGATAGCAGACATAAAATGCTTCCAACCACATGGGGGTTTCTATAGGCCATTGCTCTGTGCCTCTCTGAGGGGGCCAGGTTCTGGCTGATGGTCTCCAGTAGGCTAGAACTCCATTCCCTTTGACTGATGTCACGATCTAATACATTTATATCAGCCTGGATAGCTCTGGGGAGCCATAGGGGCTCCCACCAGAAAATACAACAGCCGGAGATCTATAACACAGATGCTGCTAAAGTCTTACCAGCTTGGTGTGTTCTTTTGATAATTACTTATAAAATGGGGAGTCAATGTAAACAATGGCATAAATGTTTGCCTATGCTAGTGCAGACCCAAGTACTCTCATACAACCACACGTGGTCAATGACCCAAATGGGAATCTTAATATTTTGCTTTATGTCCCCACATCAAGCAAGGAAAACTTTGCCATAAGAATAACACCCGTTAGGGGACTATAATTACTGTAAATGGCTATTAGTCCAAATCAGCAGTGCCAAATTTAAAACTAGCAAATTAAAAATAAAACAAAAATTGATATAATTTTTATTGGGTGACTTAGAATGAAGTTACCATTTGTGTCAAAACATATCTAACACATGGCACATCTAGTATAATCAGGTTCCCTTTTATATCTTCAAAATTTTACTAAAGGGCTTGTAAAATCAAATACTACTTTATAGTTATGAAGCTTTAGCATAGATTATATTAAATTGAGCAAGTAATTGTCTTACAAGTTACTTATTGTTATTTGACAAGTTTCTTTACTGGACTGATCATGATTATCTTTACAATAAACATTACCATACCGTTCGTAAAACTTTCACTTCATACATTACACTATACAGGCTATGCCAATTATTAATTTCTTAAATTTGATAACAATGCAACATATATTAATTTGTTATATATGTACGAGATGAACATCATAGACATCTAGCAAACTGACAAGTAAAATGCATTCATACAGAGCCAGGTTTGCTGGAAGTACCAAAGCCTTAAGCTCCAACTACACAACCTAGTGCACATTAACATTCAACCACAAGAGTACCTAATATATTTTGGCTTTCTTAACACCTTGTACATCATTAATAAACAACTTTGAATAATTTCCAGTGAAAAATTGCACTGAAACAGCAATGTCATTGCAAAAGCCGATGCAAACACTTGGGATGTACGAATCGAGTCATATACCCTAGATACTATGAAAGTCAATTGTATATCACAGAAATACAGACCCTTTTCTTGTCCTAAAACTTCGACATAAATCCTTAACCTGCAGTGTCAAGGAAGATCGATGACTAATGAGAACTAAAGGATCACAAGTTACAATCAATCTATAAACCATTTCTCAGCATCAGAATACATAACCTAGGGCACCTTAAGCAAAATTTGAACTAGAACCGGGCTTACTGAATTCTGGTTCACTACCCTTGGATGAGGTTTGTTATACAATATTTAACCCTCTTACAAATATCACAGTCAAGAGAAAATTGCAAATCTACAAACCTCTCCATTGAAGGTTCCTTCTTGCTTATGCCCAGGTAAGTTTGAGCATGTGATTGCTAGGTTATAGACATCATTTCATCTATGTCTAAGACTGAACCTCACAATAGCTCAAAGTTGTGTAATGTTGATACAAATAAATTCGGCACAAATTACTAAGCCGTTCACTCTGGAAGAAGGTCAAAATCATCAGACACATGTACCATAGGTACATGAAGTTCATCTATGTGGGGTCGAGAATTAGCATCACAGTCTCCTAACTCTTTGAGTTTCCACTCCCAGTCCATTCGCTGAACTGCATGAAGTGATTCAGCCTCATTATGATGACGCAAAACCATAAATTCCTGAAGAGAGAACACGTATTATAAAATTAAATAATAAAGCAACATTTTGGAATATTGCTCAATACTTTAAATGACAACCACTTAAATCCCAAATAAATTTCATGAAGCAAATGTTAAGATTTTGACACTTTAGTGCTGTTACTCCTCAACCCTCATTCGTATAAAGTTGACATTTTAACAGGCAAGACCATTCAAATATTCTGTACACGTCTCCATAAAATGCACAGATTGTCATCACATTCTGAAAGTTTCATTCTGTAAACAAAAAAACAAAAACACGTAAATAAAACAATCGGCATATCACACTCGCCTTGATTTTGTCCCACTTATCATCAACATCCTGCAGCCAAGAGAGAAACAATCTGCCATTGTATCGGGAACGGGCATTGCCATCTTTCTCTTGTTCAGGCGAGATTATATTATAAACCTGCAACAAACAGGTGGGTTTACATGGCTTACCAATAGTTACTATATAAATCACCAAGAATACATTAGAACACACAATATAATGACTTTAAAAATTCCATGATGGCAACTGAAAAAGGTATTCCCAGTTGGCGTATTTCACTAAAGAATAAAGGAATTACAATGATTACAGGCTGCTGCTGATGTGTTCAGAGGGTGGAATAAGAAAGGTTAAGAGATGGTGATTATGGCTGCAGCAAAAATACAAAATGTAGCTAATAATAATCTTGGCTATCAAATGGCATTAAAAAAAACATGATTTGAGCCCCTTAATATATTTATCTTGGATGCTTCGATTTTGTTGACAATTCCAAAATACAGTATCATATTAAGGATATACAGTGGTACCTCTGTTTACGAATTTAATCCGTTAGCAGAGACAGTTCGTAAACTGAAATGAATTTTCCCATAAGAAATAATGTAAATTGAATTAATTTGTTCCACACACCCAAAAATACTAACTTAAAAAAATTTCATACATAATACTACAAATATTTTGTACTACTCTATGTACAAGTTATATGTTACCTTTATTGATGACTCTTGTTGGCTGGAAGACTGTGAGGAGGGACAGGAAGAAGGGGGGGGGGGGGGGTTGAGAGGAGGAGAGGTGTTTAGTGTTTGGAAGGGGAGTCCTTGGCAGTGATGACTTCTTTGGGGTACACACACTCCTACATTTTTGCAGGCATACTACTAGGACCTGGTTGTGGCTCCCTGCTTGTTTGTCTCACTAAGAACTTTTCCAGATTTGTTTTTCCCTATGTCTTAACACTTGTCTGTAGTGATGCATCAGTGTCATTAAAAAGATTAAGGGAACGGCCTACTACAGCTTGATTTAGGCAAGTCGTTTCAGAAAACGTTTGCAGTTTTTCCCATGATGCACAATTTTCTTAATTAATGAGGAAGGGACATTCTGTACTGTCTCTACTCAACTATTTTCTTAGGTTGAACTTTACCACTGACATGACATTTTTTGGACCCGTGGCCATGATATATAATGCAGTAATTACTTACACGTTCAGAAACTACTTAAAAAAAAAAAAAAAAAAAAAACTTTATAAAGAATTCAAATGCGATCGTCGTCACTAGGTGGGAGGCAATGATAAACTGAAGCGCTCCTCATCCTTGCCACCAGGAACCACATGCTCGATCGACCCATATGTGTATCAACAAATTCGCCAAGCGAGGCAAAGCTCGTAAACCAAGTCAAATTTTTTCAAAGAAATTGAGCTCGTAAACCAAAAAATTAGTAAAGTGGGGCATTCGTAAACGAAGGTTCCACTATAGTTATATGCAGATGCTTCAATAAAATTAAAATACTGCACATTTAAATGTAGAATAGACTTAGGGAGCCTCTGAAATATTTGGTAAAGGCAAAGATAGCCAGTCATCCATGCTGGCTGGCTATCATAAAAGCAAAGCAGCTGTGACCTGTTTACAAAGATGACCAATAAATGATGAGGATAGCTATCAACAAATAATTGAAAAGGAAAAAAAATGGCAACAAAAGGACAGCATAGCAATTTGTTTAAGGAAAAATAAAATGGGATCATTCGGTAGTGTAATGAAAGTGGGAAACAGTGAGGAAGAAAGATGGAACAGACATCCAATTAGCAGGAAAGAGCATGTGCATAAAGTTAGTCTATTCAGAGTACAGTACTTCATTTTCCAAAATATAATTCAATAACTATGTTAAATAAATGTTAAATAACTGACCTCTTCATCCTTCAAAAATGTACAGACAGAAAAGGGGAGTGCTTGATTTGCAAGTGCCCTGGCAGCCCTGCCATGTACACGGAGGATTTCCTGCTCAACACTGAGCACCAACTTCTCCTTCTCTATGAGATGCTGCAAATGAAAGTTATCAAAAGAATACATAGTGTTGAACTAAAGTGATTTTCTTGTTCTTAAACACAAACTTTTATAGAAACCTGAATACATAATACAGTAAAGATACAACTTCCCTGGTATTTATATTTCAATTTTTTTTTTATTCAAATAACAACTGTCTCCTTTATATATAGTGTATAGTCCTCTTGAATTCCTCTTCCAAACCAAATTATTTTATATTTGCTGGAATAAATTTTCAGATAGTCACTTGTCAACCAATAAATGCAGTAAATCTAGGTCAGGGGTTTCAAACATAACACCAACCTGACAATGATGACCCTGTTGGGCCTACAGTACGTATAAGGTGTGTTTATTAATGTCTTCCATTTCATTATTTATTTTTATTTTATTTGTTAATTACTATATTATTATTATTATTATTATACCGTTGTGTAAAGCATGCAGTGATGCAGTCCCTCCATACTATTTCCCATGATCCTCCACTGTCTGGGACAAAAACAATTCAGAATCAAGTGTTTTTCATAAAAGATTATATCTGTTTGGATGCACACATGTAAGTGGCCAGCTGTCTTCTGTAATGAACATTATTAAATCTCAGCATCTTTCTCAACTTCCTTATGCACACCTCAATTCAATACTCATGGATACTGTGGCTCAGTCATGTGCTCCAAATTTTGACACCAAATGTCAGGAAGCAATATTAGACAATGTAAATATTGATATTATTTTTGTTCTTTTACAAATGCTTTACTTTTGCCCCTGGAGTGTATAGGTCTTTTTTTGTAATGGCCAGCAAAATGTGGAATTCTATGAAATCTGGGCAACTACAGCAAATGAGTTTGACACTCCTAGTCAAGGCCCTCCAGTAGTATCAAGCAACCATCTTCAGGTTTTACTCTATTCATCAGCTTTGTGTTGTCTGAACATTGTCATACAGGTATATAGTCCTACCTTCTTCAGAAGGTCATTTACAATAATTAGTAACAGTATTTGCCCAAGTACAAAACCCTGTGGGGACCCACTTACTACTTCATTCTATCCCGACACTTATGCTTCTCACCACAATCCTAGCCCTATTACTCAGAAACACTAACCTAGTCAAGTATCTTTCCAGTTACCTCAGCCGGCTTTTCCAACTTATGAATCAAAGACAAGACTGATTCAATCAGTCTTGTCTTGTGAATCAGTCAATCAGAAAGAATCAGTCTTGTGTTATAAGTATTTTGGCAATCTAGGAAGATGGAATCCACATATCCTCCTCTCTCCTGCCATATACCAATTCCTTTATCATAAACTTCAATCAGGTTCTTCAAGCATGTTTTGCCCTCCACCCCCTCTTGGTTCTAATATTTACATGTATTGAACACAGGTTGGTGTTATTTGCAAAGTAAATGGGTAGTGTTAGTTATATGTGCAAAAGCCCTTGTTTCAAGCCTAACCTATAGTAAAACAAAAAAAAAGTTTAGTAAAAAAAGAGAAGTTTAGAAGTTGGTAAAATTAGGTAAATGTGAAACCTACCTGTAGTCTTAAGCGATAACGCTCCTTTTCCTGATCATTAAAGAGTTCTTTGAGCAGTGCTGAAAGTGATGCTGGAGGGGACATTACTGGCACAGATAACCTGGAAGTGGCATTTCCTGCTAACACATAAGAGCACCGGTTCATTAGATAGTCCTTGAACCCTTGAGGTGGCTTTGGTTGCACTGGTCGCAAATTTTCTCGCCGACGTTCAATCTGTTTAAATAAAGCAGTTAAATCTCAACAAATTCATTAAAGCATTACACATTACATTGGCTTCATCTTGTGAATACTCAGTTAATCCTAATACACATTCTAACAAATAAAATTTCCCATTATAAGCAAAGTAATCTCCCTTCTGAGCTTCTAAACACACAAGCTGCAATAGATCCTGGCATATTACTTAACCCTTGGACAACAGCTATATAAAAACGGTCATTCCTGCCTATGCAAAAAAAAATATATATATAGATGTGTGTGTAAATCACAAAAAATAAACACGTGATTAAAAATGTGACAGTGTGAGACCACGGAGGAAAATTTAAACAGGAATTTCCTTAAGTACTTTCGTATTTAAATACATTTTCAGAAGGAGTCTGAAGATGTATTAATATACGAAAGTACTTAAGGAAATTCCTGTTTCAATTTTCCTCCGTGGTCTGACACTGTCATATATAGATATATTAATTTGTATGCAAAAAAAAAAAAAAAAAAAAAAAAAAAAAAACACAACAACATGAAAGTAAGTGTACCTTTTTACTGGGTGGAGGTGCTCTGAAATATTACAAGATGGCTATGTGGTCTGGCATTTGTCAGCACACATTGCCGACTTTGCTGATACTGAGGCATGTGAGACACGATTTGTGTATTCTACTCGGATGTTTCATAGTTTATCACTTGTTTATCTTTATTTACAAATATGTGTGTTGAGTAACTTCATAAATCACCAGTCACATAACACATGATAATGGTTCAGTTGATGATCAGTTGGTTCAGTTTATGTGGCATACCTCATTACAACCACAAACTCTGGGCTTTGCCTAATTGGCACGAAATGAGCAATAGTATAGATTGAAACAAAGGCATAAGTCACCATTGTGCCACCTACAGATGACGGCAGGTTCCTAGTACAGTACATGCAACGTATGATAATGATTCAACTGATAATTGATTTACCTGGTATAAGTCATTACAACCATACAGAGTTGTGAAAACCATATGACCATCATTGATATATACAATGACGAGGACCACATTCACCTAGTAATGTAACCATGAAACAAGAGTAGGATTTTCGTCATGGTTCAAGGTAATTTTCATTACATCTACATAGTGCTATTATATCCTTATTTGCATCCTCTCTCTCTCACACACACACACACACACACCTCTCACTTACATAAGCTCACAGTAAATTCAGTTACTAATACAGTATATAAATTGTAGTCTTTTAAGTGATGATAAAGTTAGTCTTTTTTAGAAGTGATACAATTTTAAATTAAATGTAGAAAATAAATTTTTTAAAATGTAACTGCCTAGAAGATACACACAAATATTAATATATAAGGAGGCATGTAATTTTGAAGAGTGGATGAATATTCATTAAATTTAATTAAACAGATCACATTAAGCCATTTAGCAGTTATTATTTAGAAGCAAAAATTCTTTCATAGGTTAGAGACTTTTATGTTCACTGTACTGTATTAGGCAGTGCCTCAACAATATTATGTGGTGTATGTGCCTCAGTGTACACATGCCATACATGTCTGCATGATCATCATCAACTTAAATGACAAACACGACGAGGAAACACGAGGTCACTTGCCTGCTTCCGAATATTGAGAAATGTTTCATAACAATTACTCATTGGCTGATCAACAAGTGAAACAACAGCAGGTTCAGCCTCTGGCTCTTTCATCTTAATTTTTCTCTTACGAGGATGAACAGCATCATCCATTGTTGTAGTGGGGCGAGTTGACTCTTCTATTTTCACTGATGGTTCAGCTTTAACAGTAGAAGTTGAGGCTGAAAGAATTTTTTGGTGGGTTAACTTATAAAACAGGTCTTGTTAAAGACTAATGGGCCTGATTAATGCCAATAATTAAGTTCCATTTCATTTTACTTCACTTTTCTTGAGTAAAAATTTGTTGGAATTAAATGCTTAGTTTGAGGCTATGGATATACAAATATTTCCCAACAGCAACCTAGTACGTATAGCAATTTTATCTGACAGAATGCAACACACTTGGAAACACAATCTTAGGGAGTAAATAACAAAGAATGCTGGAAGTGCTCCTTGTACATTAGTTGCTTACCTATCACTATCTATGGAGAGGGAGAATTATCAGGGGAAAGTGCCAAGCCATTACAACTATATGGCCCTTGGAAGGGATCAGGATAAGGATTTAGGATGGGACGGAGAAAAGGAACGGTGTCCAACCACCCGGACGGTCGAGGATTGAATGCCGACCTGCATGAAGCGAGACCGTCGCTCTACAGTCCAGTCCAGCCCAAGTGGTTGGGCATATCTATGAAAAGCAAGATCTAACTCTCTGGGCTTCACCTAGCAATTTGAACCAGGTATATTTAAATTTCCATCATATTTGTACTGAAGCTATTGACAAAGGTGCATTCCACTAGCATGTTTAGTGCATGCCACTTGCTGAACACCCACACTATGTAGAAGTGTTTCCTTACTTCTCTCTGGTTCATTTGTGTGTCCAGCAGTCTTCTTGTCCTATTGACCCCCAAATTGAAAAGATTCTCCTTGTTCACCATATCTACTCCCCTCAATATTTTGCACATAGTGATCATATCCACTCTGTCCTCTCCTCTCCTTTCTTAGACTGAAATTTTTTATGAGCGTGAAGTTGCCAATATTGCAGTTTTTGCCATCTATTTATTTGCACAAGAATGACTAGCTTATTAAATAGCAACACTAAGTTTCATTTGAAAGAAATTGATAAAACAAATAAAATTATTTTTACCCCTTCTGTTCATACACTTCAATACAGAACAATTGCCAGCTAATCTTTTTAATTTTAATGTTTCAGCTATGTAAACTTGAAAAAACTTTAATATTATACTGTATGAAAAATAGTAACCGAGATGTCTATACTAATTTATTTACATAAGAAATACCACGTACATAAGGTGATTGCTGCCATCACTACACTTGGTTAAAAAATCCAAACCTCAGAACTCTCCTTTTTCAATTAAAATCAACGACTGATAATTTTGATCAAATTTTAATGATTTTGTTATACAAAATAAAATTGAACTTAATACAATTGATCTCTATGCTTCAATCACCAGGAAACTATTTTACACTGTCAATTGTTTGCCACACTTGAAAATAGAAAAATCCTGACAGCCTTAGCAAGAAAGATGTGCATCAAGTCTGGCACATCACCCTCCAGCCACTGAACATGCAGTGCAACCATGCTAGGGACCATTAATGCTATGCATAAATTGATTTCTCTATGCCACTGATATTTTCAATATCAAGTAAGCCAAAATGTTTCACACATAAACCAGGTCAAGAAACACCCTCACCTGTTGTTGATTCTTCCGTAGAGCTTGAATTGCCTCCCCGCTGAGATCTAGTAATTCTAGTACCACTACCCTTCTCACTGCCAGAGCTACTACCACAGTTGTTATTGGAATTACCCGCATCATCCACCTAACACCACAAAAAGAAAATAAATTAATAAGACAATATATCATAATAGTGCTGATAAGCCAGTACTGCAATCTTTATACAAATATAAATGAAGCTCTTTAAGAAGTCCTGTCACTTAACTATCTTAAATATTTTGAGTGATGTCTTGCTGTCCCTCCGAGCTAACATGACCCATTAAAAACTATGAACGTTATCGACATTAACATATATTTTACTTCAAAATCAATAGTCTTGCCATATAAAGAATATTTCAAACAAAACAATACCTTAAGTTTACAAAGAACAAAATATTTTGCCACATACATCACAATTCACCTTAGTAGTTGAAACGATCTCTTTCCCTTCTGCGGCAACTTCCTTCTCTTCTCCCGAGCTAGTGTTCACTACATATGGCAATTGACGATTACTAGAATTTTTACCATTTCGTGTATTTGGCTCTTGTTCTGTACCGCCACCGAGCACAATTTTTAGGGGCGGAACTTTAGGTCCAGCACCCGAACTTGATTCACTCTTAACATCGTCCTCGGTATCACTACTTTCTCCACCATTTTTAGTACTCGGCGGTTTTGGACTGTTTGCTGCAGATCCCATTGGACTCTTCCGTTCCCCAGCTACTGCCCCACTTGCTGCAGAAGACTGCTTGATTCCTCCTGTGCCACTATTGTTTCCTGTACTACCACGACCACCACACTTAACACTTTTGTCTGCTGGTCCTGGTTACAATATACAGGTTGTAATAGCTTTTGGAAATTTAATTCTAATTATACAAAAATGTTAACTATTTAGGAAATTATTGTTCAATTACTATACAGTAGAAATGCCTCAAAATTATTTGACATCTTTTCGACACAAAAAATCATTTACATTTAAATTTTTGCAGCAAAATTTTAATATTTGTTTATTCCACTTCGAGTCCTCATAATCTTTAAATTTCAGCAACAAAATTTAATAACTGAAGAATGATTTAAAAATGTAAAATGTTCATACACCTGAGAGTGGGGTAGCAAGACAAAAGTTGAAGGTTAATGTAGAAAAAAAGTAAGGTTATGGCATTTGAAACAAGGGCATGGGACAATGTGGATTTTGTAGATTTTTAATGGCAAGACATTGATTTCAAGAGTGCGATGAAAATGAGGAAAGGTACTGGAAGAGACAGTAAATTGTAAATACTTAGCAGCAGTATTCAATAAAAATTTGGAGTATAGAAGGTGTTATGAGTGAGCAATAATTGAACAGGATTATGTTAGTATGGAAGTTGAAGTGTAGAGTATTGTACACCCAGCCCAAACATATGGAAGTCAAATTCTGGTACTGAAAGGAGCAACAGTATCTTTAAGATTACAACCAGTGTAAGTTTTATAAAGCAGCTGGTGGATGGACATGTACAATAATAGGAAAGTATATATATCAAATGGTTTATGAGCAAAATGGGTGAGGGAATGAAATATGGCATGGTAGAGCATTTGAAGTACAATACACTTAGGTGATAAGAGACATTAGTAAAGAGCCAGAGATTCACTTACCAAGAAGGGTGCACAAGTGTGAAATAAAAGGCATCATACTGCTAAAATACTGAGGCTAAAGCCCAGTATCTTGGGAAAGAAAAGTGGTCATGAAAGAATAGGTCAGGGAGGGAGTTATCAAGCTCAACAAGAGTGAAACATTTGCACGGTGACAAGATTCCTAGGAAACACCTGTGGCCCCTCCCTGATGGGGACAAGTGTAAACAAGGCATAATGCCTGATGAACAGACATACCAGTAGGTCTGCCACCACCTCTTCCTACTCCCTTTGCACCTTCTTTAACCTCCTCTTTTCTCCTCTTCTTTCTTGCCTCCTCATCTTCTTCAGGTTCTGGCTCTCTTCCCCTTTTGTCTCCTTTGTCATCTGTGGCAGTTGCCTCTGTTCTTGCTGCTACCCCAGCTCCTTTGTCTTCCTCTTCCTCAACTCTCCCATCATCTTTGCTACATTTGAACTCGTAGACATCCTCACTGCTTTCCATTATATTTCTGAAAGTCATTCATTATTATACATTTCATTTATATTATATAATTAAAATGAAAAATTCTTGAACTATCATTCAACTGACCTCATTTTTATTAAAAAAAAAAATGCATATGTACATTTAGAAAATAAGGACATAATTCAAAAAGTGACCATAAAACATATAAGTGGATGGCAGTATTATTATACTGTAGTCTTGTATACAAAATGATAATTGAGACACAAATTAAATAAATTAGGACTATGGGATGATTAATCCAAATCAGTATTGAAAATTAAAACAATCGAGCATTTTCCAGTAATCGGAATCAGAAGGAAATCGAGTGAAATTTATCATGATTTCCTATTCTTAAAACATTTAATAGCAAGAACTGCAAATTTTTAATTTCAGGTAATAACTAAAATTGCTTAATTTATAATCATTAACAATCAAGTACTGTATTATATTCTAAAGTTTTATTTTACTATTGCAATTTAATATTATTTGAGAAAAGGATTAAAATTCTACTTTTTATATATTGTATATAACATGCACACCTGTGATGAGTAATGGAATGTTTTCAGTGTTTCTTATTTTCTTTTGTTTCACAGTCACTAACTGACTGGCTGCAGCTGTGAATGGCTGATTGACTGTAAATGCCTAACCGGTTGCTACCACAACTGTGAATGCTTGACTGTCTGTGACTGGTTTTGAATGTGAATGCATGACCTTGTGGCTGTAAATGACTAGTTCTGACTGGGTGCCACATAACAAGAGGCAGTGAAATGTGTGAAAGAAAAATCTGGAACCAGAGATGCAGATATGAAAGCATTTAAGATGAGCAGGGGATGGACTGATGTTATAATGGAAGGGGATCCTCCCTTCTAAACACTTCTCCTCCTCCTCCTCCTCCTCCTCACCCTAGGGCTCCATACACCAACACTGCTGTACTTCCCTCCCTCCTTCCTCAATGTCCTCCCTCCCTCCTTCCTCAATGTCCTCCTTCCCTCCTTCCTCAATGTCTACCATACACCAACTAGAGTCCTCAGTAAATGTTCACTTACTTTATTTATGGTTTATATTTATACCTGATTGTTTTGTGTATGAAAAATATGAGTAGTATTCTGTATATAACATAATTTTAAGTTAATATTTTGGGGGATGTGGAATAGATTATATCAATTTACATTCTTTCCCATAGGAAAATGTACAAGCCGTCTCTTGGAACAGATAAAATTCGTAGATCGAGGTTCTGCTATACTGGGAAGACGGGACACCACTAGCGTAGCTCTCATCCTGCAACTACACTTAGGTAATTCACAGGCACTCACTTGTTATCGTGTGGTCTTGGCTTCTCTGGAGTGCGTGCAACACTGTTAGGCAAACGAAGAGTAACTCTCGGTGACCCGGGTCCACCTCCAGGCTTATCCTCGGAAGATTTGTTGGCAGGAGGAGTCCGCCTAGACATACTTGTGCAACTGCCACCTTGTTAAAAATATATATGTATTATTAGCTGCATGTATAAGACAAAATTAACAATATGTATAGGGACTAGGGGAATAAATACCCAAATTGTTGCAATAATAGATTTTCCTCTAATGGAGCAATTGGATTTAATCCTCTAACAAAGCATTAAATTTTCTATTGAAATCCAATCTTTGCTATTTTATGCCATAGTGTGTTATTAATATTATAAACAATGTAACACATTTTTGTGTACTTATAAAGTTAATGTTTAATAAATAAAAAATATTTTTCTAATTTTTTTTATGGTGTACAAGTTGACCAAAATTTCTCGATGGTCTCAAAGCAGTATCTGCACTGTACTTCAATACAGTACTATAATCAATTCGTCACTAATATACAGTACTGTATTAGTAAAATATTGTATACATTATTAAAATACTGTATAGGTATTATTGCAAATAATAGTATTTTGCTGAAATGGCTTCTGATTTGAAATATCCCAGGTCAATCAAGACAGACCTGGTACTGCACTCATATAGCAGCACAAGAAAACTGCAACATTCTGCACTTGTGTGGTCCTGTTTGGGTCAGCAGTGTCATGTCAAAAACAGGCCGACAGAAAAACATTAAAAATCACAAATATTTAGAAATCACATAACTGTGCCCATAAAAAGCAAAGCAAACAATGGACATGTAGCCAAAGGAAGTCTGCAATGGGATGTGGTATGAATTAGTCCATTTGATCAGGACTGCAGCATATTCGGTATAGAATAATATGCCAAATATCTAACATGCATCCTATGAAAAACTATTCATGAATGCAATTAGTGACATTGGTCTATAGGTTAGTAACTCCAGTCTATAGCCCTTCTTTAATACTGGAACTACATTTCTCCTCCAGATTTCTGGGGTTTTCCAGTCTCTAATGTTATACTGAAAGATATAGATAACAATCACTGCATCCACTTCCAACTAACCCTATATTAGAACTACGACCACTACGTCCATTGTCACCAGAACCACTATAACTACCACTACCACCATTCTTCCTAATCTACTTATTGCATTAGCTTGTGCTTACACCACCATTGTACAAATTACAGCCCCAGTAGTCACTGAACCCACTGCACTTACTACAGCTTCTGTATTCACTTTGGGTGTAGTAAGGCCTACTTTTTCTTATATGCTGTCCTACTTATTATGAAGCCCTTCTAATTGGTTACCCTTGTCATAAGTACTGTACTGTATTTCCTTAAAACTTCGTTTCACTACCATATACAAATAATTGGAAGAAAATAATGTAAAATAATCATGGAGCAGACATCTGATATTTATCCATTCTACACCATAACTAATTTTTTATGATAGATGTACAGTACTTGTTAAAGGAAGGTAATAAAGAAAACACATATACGGTGAAGTGCCACTCTAATGGATTCTGGTCAACATGGAATCCAGATGCACTGACATATTTCCTTCTGCTCATAAGTTTGTTGCAATCAGTTGCAATAGAAGATAATGGAAGAGTACAGGTGGGGCGAGTCATGCATTTGCTGTACTGGAATGTGGTGACCAAAAATGTAAATAATATATACTATATTTCCCATGTAAATACCCTTCCCCTCTCCCCTTGGTGGCACCTCTCCATAAGAGATTTAGTATTAAAATACCATATGCACAAAAATGACAGCTGCTGTTTAAGGGTTAATGGGTGGCATACATTAAGTATTTGCTTGTTCAAGCTGCAGTACCAATTTACCTTTTGTGACATTATATTGAATAGATAATTGCACCAGCACGTGGCCTCAGGCTTAAGATCAATTAAACCAATCAAATTACCTTTGAAATGTTGTGGGAGTTCGTCACCAGAAGATGAGCCCAATTCCTGGATATGTCCACGTGCTGCTGCTTCTATCAGGGATGCAATACCTGGTGAGCGACAGACGTCTCGAGGTGTTTTCCCTCTTCTGTTCACAACATCAACTCCAGCACCACACCTTAGCAGGAGCCGCACCAGCTATTTGATACAAGGACTTATGTTGGCTCAACAACAAAACAGTGCTTTAAAATTCAAATAAAATACTAAGGGTTTATGGCACTCAAACATATATGCGTGTTTACATTTGAGTGCCTAGCAAATGGTCGACAACCGAGCACAAACAGAGTTCGAGTACCTAATTGTTCGAGTTTGGAGCCATTCGAGTACTGAGTTTCCTCATTACTTACTTACAATATGAATATTTGCTCTAACATATAATCTCAACAAATAAAAAAAAATGACTTGTTGTATGTGGTGACACTATTAGCTGGAGCACACATGCCGCTTCACTCCTTTATACCCATCCACTCCACAACCTGCCCACAAGTGTCTGCCTCACTGTGTGGGGTTTCCTCTGCTCTGATCTCTAATAATTGGGTTTTTGCTGTATGTTATTTAAAATGAGTTCAAAGATGCCACTTAATTAATCTGGATATTATCAGGCACTTCGAAAATGGTCCAAAAATGTCAAATAAGAGCCCAATTCTGCCCTACTGCCACCAACAATTTGTACACTGTATACATAAAGACGCTGCAAATGTTAAATACATGTACACAGACCATGACTTAATGTAAGTCTTTCTTACTTTCATTATGCCTTTTATATTTTCTATAAACTTTATTCACCTTTATTTGGAAGGAGTACCAAGAAATGGCCATAGTCTTGCCAGATTTTTAGTTCCTGATAAGGAATAAATTTGCATTTCATGCATTTTTGTTCAATGGGGCTCATGATGCAACTTTACAAAAAATAAGGTTGAGCCTGGAGTATTGGAGGAAAACAGTGATGACTATCATATCATTTTACAGCCAGGTTGTCCTGGTAGATACCCAGAGTGTGACAGGTTAAGATTTAGTAAACTTTTTATATACTGTATATGGACTCTGTGGTCCAAGAATGCATCCCCCATCTATAGCATTACACCTCTTGGAAATCTGGTTCCATGTTTCAAACCACCAACTTTCGAACACCTTTTCAGAATGTATCCCATTCTTAAATTGGGGACTGCATACACACTATTATAAGCAATTTTACTCCTAGGCAAAATAATGTATTTAGGCCTTGATATCAGCCTTAAGTTACACTGCATCTCTCAAGCTCCAGAGCTCAACCAGGATCCAAGTCATACCAGGTATTTTCCTGTATATATATCCATAGTATTTATGTATTTCCAAGCAATATAAAAAAACACAAAGTCCCTTACTCTTTGCCTATTAATCCTCCACAAATTGATTCATATACTTCATATAATAATAGAACTGCTAACTAAGCTTGTTACACCAATTGTTACATTCCAATCTCCACCAGTGGACTTATTTCTTGGTCCACAAATAACCTCCAAATTGACAACACCCCAAATTGACTTTCCTTAGATTTGATGAATTGTTATTTAAACAACAAAAATCTTCTGCCTCTCAGCCAGAACAAATTTTTCCATTTCTTTATCTATTCGTTTTTTATTATATAGTGGATCACAAAGTTGGAATTCTTTTACACAATTACCTAAAGTTTGAAATTTCTTGACTCTTGTGCAGTCTCTCTGCTCTGGTCCTCAAATACAGGTCCTCTTTAACTATGCTTGATACTTCTCTCACTCTGATACTTCTCTGGGTTTGGAGTTATTCTCTAGTTGAATTTGCCACAAATTTTCCATTTGTGTTTTGGATTGCAAGCAAATGATTTATTTAAATAGTTACAGTACAGTTGCATTTTTCTTTTATGTATTAAAACAATGCATAACTGGTTTAAACATAATAGATTAGGAGAGAGAATGAAGTACAATATTTTCAGGCAATTACTGTACCTTGAAATGATTATTGATGCAGGCATCATGTAGCGGAGTATCGTTATCTAAACCTTTGGCATTAACGTCTGCGCCTGCTTCAATCAACAACTTCGATACATCATAAAATCCACGATTACATGCTTCATGAAGTGCACTCCAGCCTGACAAAAATAAAAAAAATAATAAATGTAAAGGTAAAAATGTAGTTAAGAGAAACGAGACTTGAGTACATACACACACAAATCTACAAAACATACTTCTATATAACTACTATACAGAATTTAGACATTAAATAAATCATAAACTGAGGATATAATTTCCCTTAAGACTTCATTAGTACCTAAAGATGGACAGCTCTCAATTTAAATATAGGAATGCAATACTGTATATGCTGTCTTACACATCTGCTTTGTGTGTATTATCATCATCGAAGTACTGTAGTGTTAAATGATCAGAGGCATATTCGTGGTGTTCTATCTTCTCTTTCTTATATTCTTTGATCGAGCCAGGCTGGAGATACTTGGTTATGTAACTTTTTCTTTGAACAATCACCAAGGAACGAGGTATAAGAAATTAATCTTCCCGAGGGAGATGAAAGTAAAGTACAGGGACAAGAGTGAGAAAATGCTCAGCATAAGGACTTCAATAATAAAGTTGTGGCCCTCAACGTAATATTTACCAAACCACTTCAAGTAAACTCGTGTGAAATACCAACAAACCTCCAGTGACGACGGTCCCACTAAACTGTAAATTTCCGAGAGGAATAGTCCCAATTTAATAATAGTGTATATCTGTGCCTCTCATCCACTCTGTAGTAACTTGCCATAAAAGGGCACAACACAGATGAAGATAAAATTCACCCCAGGTGATGTTAAACACAACTATGCTAGGTGCAATGTAATATTTATTTTATGTTATTTAACTTACCAATGGACTAAAAAGAGGGGGCCTGAGAACACATTAACAAGAGTGTAGGCCTACACAAATACTCTGGCAAAAGGGGAGGCTGAGAGGCACAAGAGCTTCATATGGTAACGTGGAGGCCATTTTTGGTGGCGTGAGGAAAGTGTGAGGTTGAGCAGGTGTGGGCCCCTGAGGGTGGTGGTGGCGGGCCCGAGGGCCAGGCTGGGCACCAGGGGCCCCCAGGGTAGGGGCCAACACAGCCGGGGGTCCACACACACACTGCTACAAGCCTACTCCAACACGTACACACACACGCCCAAACCAGAGGTCATCCAACCCACACAAAGCCAACATTATTCATCACATTTATCTCTATTCCACACCCAATTTGTACTTTTAATTGGTTGTGAGTTAAGGCAGGAGCCGCCAGGAGTAGGCCTGACGTGCCTTACCAAGCAGCGGAAGCAACAAGCACTTACTTTACATGAAACAACAAGGAAAACAACGCACTACAGTTACTAAGAACAGACAAAATTCACACACGGACGTAAAATACATATTTTCCACACTAACTTAAAAATTCAAACTTTATTATCGTAAAAATTTTTATACATAAAATCGTAGCATAATTTTATGTTCACCTACAATATAACAAGACGATGTATTAAATATTAAGTGAACAAAGAATGATGTTAACTTCCCATTCTCCGGCGAGCTCCGTTTTCTGTCCCCCCACGCCCCCCCCCCCCCCCCCCACGCCATGAACCACCAGAAAATCCTACTTTTCTTATGGGTTGAAATCGCAATTATGGCGAGTTTTTTTTCTATATAAACTTCATATAAACACTAAGGAAAAGTAACTTTGTTGCAATTTATTTGAATTGCAACAAAGTTACTTTTCCTTAGTGTTTATATGAAGTTTATATAGAAAAAAACTCGCCATAATTGCGAGTATCGCCATAATATATTATATATATATATATATATATATATATATATATATATATATATATATATATATATATATATATATATATTAAAAGGGCGATCAGTTAAAGGGCGATTTAAGTAGGATCATTGGTACGCATTTGTCTCACTAATTCATTGTATATATTTACCATTTTATGCTATAATTATCTATGTATTGTGCCTGTGTATGTTTGCTGTATCAGATGGGCCATTGTGCTACATCAGTTGGGCCAATTGGCTGCAACAATTACAGCAATCAACGCAAAGAAAGGTAGTGTGCATTTCAATAAACTTCAAGGCGACTATGGTTTAGGATATGCCTACGGCAATGTTAAGACGCATAAACCAGGTAACCCACTACGCCCTATAATCAGCCAAATACCAACCCCAACTTATCACCTGGCAAAGAAACTCAATGAACTCCTAACTCCATACACTCCAAGTAAGTTTAGTCTACAATCATCAGCAGATTTCCTAGAATTGATCAAATCTACCCAGCCCGATGGAATCATCGCTTCCCTGGACGTTGAATCCCTTTTTACCAACGTCCCAGTCGACACAACCATAGGAATGATACTGGACAGAGTATACAGAGACGAGAGCACCCCCAAATTAGACATACCTGAGCCACACTTGAAAAGTCTTCTCGAAGCATGTACAAAGGAAGCCCCTTTCATCAGTCCACAAGGAGACATGTATTTACAAATAGACGGAGTAGCAATGGGCTCCCCCTTAGGAGTTTTATTTGCTAATTTTTATATGGGAACCATCGATGATAGGGTCTTCAGTAGCAGACAAAAACCAACTGTATACTGCCGTTATGTAGATGACATATTCGTAATAGTAAAAGACTCAGATGAACTAATTGACCTAAAAAGACACCTAGAGAGAGAGTCAGTACTCCGATTTACACATGAAAATAGTGAAAATAACAGTCTGCCATTCTTGGATGTACTAATAACAAAAACAGGAACCTCTTTAAGCACCATCGTATATACCAAGCCCACCAACATAGGATTATGCCTGAACGGTAGAAGTGAGTGCCCCCAAAGATACAAAGCCAGTGTTCTCAATGCTTATATTCGTCGAGCGCTTACCCACTGCTCTGAATGGAGCAACGTGAGTAGAGAGTTTGAAAGAGTAACTCAGGTATTGGTGAACAACGGATATAGCAACGCGGAAATAAACGCTGCTATAAGAAGACACTTGGACCGTTGGTATAATTCAGAACCTAGAACAGAAACCACAACACCCCCAATAAAATTATATAACAAATCAACCATGCATAGTGAACATATAAAAGAGGAAAGAATAATGAAAGAAATAATCCGTAAAGGAGTAAAAAGCACTACTCCTAACCAAAACATAAACCTGATAATATTCTACAAAACCAAGAAGACTTCCGAACTCCTTATCAAAAACAGCCCGAAGCCGACGGAGAACCCTCTACAGCAGTCAAGCGTTGTATACATGTACACTTGCCCCCACGAAGGATGTAACCTTCAATGTAAGTACATAGGTATGACGTCGACCAAGCTGACGAGGCGTTTGACATGCCATCTTCAATCTGGTGCCCCTAGGAATCACATGAGACAAGCCCATGACATTACTCTAACAAGAGAAATGTTGAACAAGAATACTTGCATAATAGACAAAACCCAAGATTCAAGAAGATTACAAATTCTTGAGGCAATTCACATAAGAATAGAGCGACCTACCATGAACACCCAAATCACGGAACTATTTACTCTACCCACCATGAGAGTAAGGACAAGACAAGAACATATCGATGCCAACACAGAAGACAATGTCCAACATAACAGGCCAATTACACTGGATTAATCTTTATGTTTAGATAGGAGATGCCTCGTATGGGCCAATAAGCCTTCTGCAGCCCCTATGTTTATCCCTTATGTATCCCCCCATGTTTTCACCTTCATTGTATTATCACCTGACCTAATGCGGGTATAAAATCAACTAGTATTGTAAGATCTGTTCACTTGAGAATGAACCATGGAGGTTCGAAACGTCGTGCAAATTATACAAATAAGTGTAATACACTCTATAGTAAATCACTTCTTTTCTTCACCTTAAAAAGTACGAACATGAGTTTTGGAGAACTCCTATTTCAATTAAGCCCTGATGCTAAGAAAATAGTTAGAGGGATAGAAGCCCTAAACCAGAAAATAATAAATACAGAATATGCGGTCATATTCAATGAAACATATATATATATATAACTGAAAACTCACACCCCAGACCCTACCTAACCTAACCTAACCTATCTTTATAGGTTAGGTTAGGTTAGGTAGTCGAAAAACAATTAATTCATGAAAACTTGGCTTATTATATTATATATATATATATATATATATATATATATATATATATATATATATATATATATATATACTACTAGGTATGTCGTACCTAGTAGCCAGAACGCACGTCTCAGCCTACTATGCAAGGGCGGATTTGCCTAATAAGCCAAGTTTTCCTGAATTAATATATTTTCTCTAATTTTTTTCTTATGAAATGATAAAGCTACCCATTTCATTATGTATGAGGTTAATTTTTTTTTATTGGAGTTAAAATTAACGTAGATATATGACCGAACCTAACCAACCCTACCTAACCTAACCTAACCTATCTTTATAGGTTAGGTTAGGTTAGGTAGCCGAAAAAGTTAGGTTAGGTTAGGTTAGGTAGTCGAAAAACAATTAATTCATGAAAACTTGGCTTATTAGGCAAATCGGGCATTGCATAGTAGGCTGAGAAGTGCGTTCTGGCTACTAGGTACGACATACCTAGTAGTACATATATATATATATATATATATATATAGTAGCCATATACTTCTCATATATATATATATAATAAGCCATATATATATTATATATATATAATTAGTCTTCCCTGTAGACATATATTATTAAATATGACCGAAAAAGTAAGATTAATAATTCTAACACGATTTTTCTCAATATTTCTTATATTTTTTTAGGCACTGTTGATGGTAATTGAAAAATCAATTCTCCAAAATTCATTTTTATTTCTAGTCTGACTCGACACTTGAACGCGTTTCGTAATAACTTATTACATTTTCAAAAACTATAGTTTAAACACCCACAACTATAACTTGCAAACACTAAACAGAGTTTAAACAGCTTTGATTTTATGCCTGCATTTGGGTGAGGTGATATGTTACAACAGTTGTGGATGAGGTGAACAAAACTTTCAACACAAGACAGAATACGAAACAATAGGTATAATATTTTGTAAGTTAAAG